AACAGGAAGGTGAAGGGAGTGTGATCTTAAAGTTGCTTTCAGCTGCACTCTTTTCCCCCCTACTTGCTTTTTCTTGAATACCTCCAGCCTGAAAAGCAATATTCAAAGTTGCTTACTCAAGGGAACATTACAGAAATTGGACAGCACCTGTAAATGCAGTGTAGCTGTGTTATAGTTCTGGTTGCCTGTTTTTCAGGGGTTTATAGCTTGGTTATAAAACTTGTCTATATATTTAACATTAAAGTGTCTAGTGCAAATGTGCAGTAATTACCTTTCATAAAACTCTGAGCATGCCTACTGCTAAGACACCTTTCACAAATTGTCTAATTTCCTCCCTATGTGATAGGCTGCAGCAACTCCCTTGGAGCTGTCACAGTCTATTAGGTAAACAATGTTCATTTTAAATACTTCTTAAGTGGGGTATTTATTGTGCAGTAAACCACAATGACTCAGCCTGAGTGTCTATATATATTTTGTGCCTGAAGTATATTGAATAAAGACATATAACTTAATGTTGAGGTTGTGGTACAAACCAATAAGAATTTGGAAATTGAAAGCCAGGGCACAAACACTGTTGTTAATTCATTCACAGTTGTCTGTCTTGTTAACAGAGGGTGTAAGTTAAGATTGGAACTAGGCCAACACTAATATAAAGTTAAGGGATCATGTACTCAGAGCTGCTTTTTAGTTAGTGCATCTGGTCCCCTATGCCTTTCAATTTACCCAATCAGGGACAAATTTTGCCCTCAAATGCAAACTCATAACTGCTAGTGAAGTCATCTGAGGACAAGATTTAATGCTCAGTTTTTTTATTGCTCTTTAACTGTAACGCCAGCACCAGCGTTCTCATTGAGGCATGTGCATCTGTTGTCATGCAGCTGAATTCCAGCTCCTGAGCAGAGCCAAGTGACTGACACTTATTAGCAAAATTCAGTTCTTTTATTACCTCTTCCTTCTCTAAGTTGCCATTGCATCTTCCAGCCATGTGAAGGAGATAGCTCTGCAGAGGCACCAACAATCCATGGTTGTAGACCAAAGCATCTCAGCTCCATGTAGAGAGTATTGGCCAGTTTCCCAGCTGATGTAAATTGGCATTGCTCCCTTGAAATTGATGTATCTGAAGATGTGTCCTGTGTTTAAAGACTCCATGAAGTCTCAGGACTTCATCCATAGTGGGATGGTGCTGAATATCACTTTCTCCTCTGCATTCACTTCAGTGGTTAAGTTGAAGGGCAGGGGGAAAACATGAAAGGAGTAAAGATATGTGAAAGTAGGAAAGAAATCAGAGAAAGTAAGTGAGATGGGGAATAAATGAAGTGAGACACAGGAAGGGAAAAGGGAACGAAAAAAGGTAGAGAACTGGAGTTGAGGAAGAGAAAAGAAAGCTGTAAGTGGGAATAGAAAAGTATTAAATTAAAAGAATGAGAAAGAGAGAAGGAAATAAACATGAAAAAATAAGAAAACATATACAACTTTAAGGTTATCAAATGAATGTTTCATTTGTGCACGTGCCTACATTTTGTCTTTGATGTAACCTTGATGGAGAGATTGGGGATCCAGAGACCTAGCTTGAGGTTGTGAAGCCAGGGTAAAGGACATCTTGGTGTTCATTTGGGGGAAAGGTAGAGGACTGAGGGAAAATACATTGATCATAGCTTTCTTCTTCTGCTCATTCATGCATTGTATAGATCTTAAGACCAGAAGAGATCATTATAGTATTCTAGACTATAACATATGGTCAGTTCATAACTATTCTGTCTTGGATTTGGGATCACTGATAGTAAGAAAATTACATTGTAGAATTCTAAACTATTTCACACTTAGATACCCTTTTAATGAACAAAACCATTCAAGGGAAGCTGTGAAATACATTTCATACATATTTCATCCAAGAGTATTTATCGATTAAATCTATGCATAGACAGTTTAAAAAAATAGATCCTATTAAGAGGTGGAAAAGACTTACTTGAGCATTGAATCAACCTCCAATGGAGGAAGTAAGAATTACAGCTACTGCTATATTTGATATTAGGGGGAAAAAATAATTACTCAGAATTTTTAAAGAGTACTACATGTGTAAATAGTATTAAAAATAGAGCTGTGTTTTTAAATGTGTGTTTATATCTAATAGATACAATAACTCCTCTGGTGCAATCCTATAAATATCTATAATGATGGCCACACTCTTCTACTATCATAGGAACCATTTAGAAGTAAACATTGAGAGGTAAATGCAAATGATTATGGCTCTTGTAAGCCCCTCTCAGTAGGGATTTATGTGAAAGTGTCCATATAATTGTAACGTTTTAGAAGACAAGCGAATACGTACAGGCTTTTTCTCTTTCAGATATAACTTACTGTAACTGGATCGGTCAAAGTAAAGTAAATATGTAGAAGAGATGATTTTCTTATTGGACGTAGGATCTTTAGCGCATCTCATAAAGCTGGAGTGAGCTGTCACAGTGCTGTGATTCATAATCAGTATTTGAAAACATAGGTGAATAAAAATGTGCTGCGATTATTAAACTAAGCTGCAGGCGACTTCAGGCATTGAGCTTTTATTAGCAAAGTTGGCTATGGTTATATGTAGGGTATTAAAGAATATTTGACTTAACGTCTTTTTTCTCTTTTGCGTTGCTGTAAACTGTATGGCTGTTGTTTTCCTGGGGGCATACATGAAGTTCATTTCAGGAGTTGTTTCAGTTGTGTCCTGACCACAGCAGCAGTGGCACAATAGGATACTAGTCAGGTGTTTAAGTTTAACATTCGGGCTGTTTCCTTCACCCTTCAACCACCGTGGGAACAGCTCGGAAACGAGCGGAGCAACCGTTATTTGATGGAAGGAAGAAGCTTGTGTGGCTCTGCTGTGGGAGTGGGGCTGAAGGATTCCAGGAGGAACTGCATCCACTCTCATTTTGCCAGAAGGATAGTTCCCAGTAAGAATACATCATTCTGAGGGAATCCTCAGGACTCTTAGAAAGACATGAAGGACCACTGTTGGCGGAGAAGTCTGGGCATTACAAAACAATCAGAAAATAACTTTAATGTTAATGCAGTGTATTTAGAATCATAGAATATCAGGATTGGAAGGGACCTCAGGAGGTCATCTAGTCTGACCCTCTGCTCAAAGCAGGACCAATCCCCAATTTCTGCCCCAGAGCCCTAAATGGCCCCCTCAACGATTGAACTCACAACCCTGGGTTTAGTAGGCCAATGCTCAAACCACTGAGCTATCCCTCTCCCCCAAAATTCAAGATTCAAGAGTATGTATTAGTAGTACTCATAATTCATGTTGGAAGCTCTATATAAGATTCTGCTAATCAGTCCTCAAAGTATTGTCCCCATCTTTCTGATAGAGATGTATTAAGGCCACAATTTTCAAACACTGAATTAAATTCCTATCAAAGCACCTAACTGAAGAGGTCTGTTTTGTTTTGTTGTTTTTAAGATGCCTAAGATGTTCAGCCGCCCTGAAAATCAGGCCAATTTTATTTCTGTACCTAACTATGCATTTAGGTATTTAACGTGAGGTACTAAAGCTTGTGAACATTTTGACTGAAGGGCCTGCCTACACACTGATTTAGAAACAGATATCGTTAAATCAGTGCAAGACCCTAGTGTAGATTCAGTTATATTGACATAAAGGGGATTATATTGACATAGATTGTTTCCATAAATTCACTTTTCCATTGACTGTGTCCAGAGCACTGCCAGCCCATAGCAGGGCAGCTCTCAGTCCCTTGGCCACAGTTTTAAGGAAATGGTACATGATAAAAATTTACCAAGGTAAGATTATTAAAATAAAGCAACCTGTGGCAGTGTAGTTGTGTGTCTCCTAAAAGAAGTGGGCTAAGAGTTTTAAATATCTTTCTCGAGTATGGCATTTTAAGACTGATAATGGTATGTAAAGGAAGTAAAAGTCCAACTGCTTTCTAATATCCAAATGAGAAAACAGTGGAACCCTGTGCAAAAATCCAGGTGGAATCTTCCACTTGGATTCACGGCTGTTGGCACTTGAACCAAACAGACATTGTGCAGACCAGCTGGAAGGAATTCTGCTTTCTCTAATTCCTTCTTCCTCACTACGATACTCGCAACATGTACAAAGCTGGTCTCAGCAATTCCCTTCCAGACCAAATTGCTTTCCCCTCAAGGCTGGTATAAACAGCAAGTCAAAGGCATCCAGATGAGAATGTCCATGGTCACACTCTGTCTACCCTGAAGGGTCTTCCCCTCCCTTCTCCAACAGGCTGTATATGACTTATTCTGCACATTTTTGGCATAGTCTATTAGAGCATGACTGGGGGTGTAATACACTTGCTGTTTCCTCTGTCCTTGTACATAAAACATGTGGAGACAGCAATGTTTGTGTCCTGTGGCTGCAGGATTTTGAGTGGACACACTAAAGGATGCAGGTCTCGACACTGGCCTCTGTTAAGGGAGTGAGTTAATAGTTTCATGCACTGACATAAATCAAATCAGAATTTGTCCCTTTTTCATAGAATCCTCTAATTGACCTGATCTCAGTCTTTCCCTCTCATCTACATTTTTTTCCTGATTCATGTTAGAAATTCCAAGTCACAGAACAAAGAAACAAAGTTTGTATTTTCAAAGAAAAAAGAGGGGAGGGAGGATTGGTGAAAACAGCCCTTACAGCTGTACTCTGTGGCTGAGTAAACTAACGCTTTTTACTTGCTCTTTTCAAGGATGTGTTTAGTCTAGATTCCCTTGATTTATATATCTTTTTTGGCTGGGTTGTATTTTTTTAATGCAGATTTCCAATGATTTCATTCAAATTCATGTTTGCCTAGGACGATAGAATGTTTTGAGACGAATGTGAGTGAACTTAATCCTTACAATGTTTTCCTCCTCAAATCTTCATTTATAGAATTGTTTAGCCTTCAAAGGCATTCATTGCCTGTTATGTGCTACAAAAAGAATCCGAAATAGACAGAGCTTGGAATTGCACTGGGAAATCATCTTTATTTTTCCTCTCACAGAAGTGGCAGTGCATTGAGGATTCTTCTGGCAAGCTTCGAATTCACAAGTGTAAGGGATCCAGCGACATGTTCGCGATCAGAAAGAGAACACGAAGCATACACTCCCAGGGATACAGCAATAAAGACAAAGAATGCATCTGTGCAGATGCTGATTACCGAACCAGCAGGACCCAGAGAAAAAATCAAAGACAGTTCATGAGAAACCCCAGTGCCCAAAGTAGGTGATCTCAGAGCTCTTAGATACTCAGGAAAGGGGGCATTGGGTTAACTGAGCGGTGTTTTACCAGCAAGGAGTTGTTTTCACCTGGATATATGATGAATGCACATGTAATTTGCAGTCGGTACTTGAGTAATTACTGCTTTAAAAAAAAAAATCAAAAGCTACCAGAATCTGTTATCACGATAAGAAATGTTATTTAGGCCAGTTTGTAGCAATGATGATGTTTTGGTGCGACCTATTGTACGGGTTGGAGATAAAACCTGCAGAGTAAATTACAGAATCTAGGTAATTATTACAGGCATAGTAGCCTGAGCAAGCATTTTCTTTCATCACTAATATTCAGTTAACATGTTCGGATATTTGCAGTAGACTTTTTTTTTGTTTTTTTGCATCTCAAACATTAAAGCATTCTGATTGCTGTCAAAGTGAAAGCCTACTCACCTGAAGTTTTTAAGTGCCAGTAAAACAGCCTGCTTGTAACTTAACGAGTTAGAATCTAGTGCCCTCTAGTGGAGTGTGATGTAAAGGGAAACTGCCATCAAGTTTAAAATACCAATGCTTAATTTTCTGTGTTAAGCACTGAGAAAACATAACTACTTTGAAAAGCAGGTGTCAATTAATATAAGAATATAAGAGTGACAATACTGAGTCAGACCAATGGTCCATATAGCCCCATACCCTGTCTTCCAACAATGGTAAATGCCAGATGCTTCAAAGGACATGAACAGAAGAGGGCAATTATCAAGTGGTCTCTGTCGTCCAGTCCCAGTATCTGGCAGTCAGAGGCTTAGGAACACCTGGAGCATGGAGTTGCATCTCTGACCATCATAGCTAATAGCCATTGATGAACCTATCCTCCATGAACTTACCTAATTCTTTCTTGAATTTATTTTGGCCTTCACAACATCCCCCGCAACAAGTTCCACAGGGCAACTGTGTGTTGTATAAAAAGAAAAGAAGTACTTGTGGCACCTTAGAAACTAACAAATTTATTTGAGCATAAGCTTTCTTGAGCTACAGCTCACTTCATCGGATGTGTGTTGTGTGAAGTACTTGCTTTTGTTTGTTTTGAACCTCCTGTCTATTAATTTCATTGCGAGACCACTGGTTCTTGTGTTATGTGAAGGAATAATTAACACTTCCTTATTCACTTTCTTCACACCATTCATGATTTTATAGACCTCTATCATATCCCCCCCTCAGTCATCTCTTGTCTAAGCTGAAACGTCCCCGTCTTTTTAATCTCTCCTCATACAGAAGCTGTTCCATACCCTTAATCATGTTTTTTTGCCCTTCTCTGTACCTTTTTCAATTCTAATATATCTTTTTAAAGGTGGGGTGACCAGAACTGCTTTCAGTATTCCAGGTGAGGGTGTACCATGAATTGATACAGTGGCATTATGATATTTATTGTCTTATTATCTATCCCTTTCCTAATGGTGCCTAACATCCAAAAGCTTTTTGGACTGCTACTGCACATAGAGTGGATGTTTTCAGAGACTATCCACAATGACTCCAAGATCTCTTTCTTTAGCAGTAACAGTTAATTTAGAATCCATCATTTTGTATGTATAGTTGGGATTATGTTTTCCATATGCACTATTTTACATTCATCAACACTGAATTCATCAGTCATTTTGTTGCCCCGTCACCCAGTTTTGTGAGATCCCTTTGTAATTCTTCTCAATCAGCTTTGGATTTAACTATTTTGAGTCATTTTGTATCATCTGCAAACTTTGCCACCTCATTGTTTACCCTTTTTTCCAGATCATTTATGAAAATGTTGAACACTGGTCCGAGTGCAGATCCCCAGGGGACACCGCTATTTCCTCTCTCCATTCTGAAAACTGACCATTTGTTCCTACCCTTTGTTTCCTGTCTTTTAACAAGTTACTGATCCATGGGAGGACCTTCTTTTTATCCTATTAGTTTGCTTAAGAGCCTTTGGTGAAAACTTGTCAAAAAGTTTCTGAAAGTCCAAGTACACTATCTCTACTGGATCACCCTTGTCTACATGTTTGTTGACCCCCTCATAGAGTTCAAATAAATTGGTGAGGTATGATTTCCCTTTACAAAAGCCATGTAAAGGGCTTAACGAAAATATATATTCTGTTTCTTCACTGAGATCAGCATTTTCCATCTTCTCATGTTTGGTGTGTTTTCTATTCTAACACTCTTGCCAAGAGCAGCTGGGTTCAGGTAGCCTGAGTCAAGGACAGACTGTATTCTACTGGGTCTAGACAGCATTGTGGGTTATGGAATTTACATGAAATTTTGTGTAAGCATACAAAAATTTTACAAAAATTACAAGAGGCTGCACGTATATATGATGTTGCAGAAAAAATTATGATACTATATTGTATTATTTCAGGTATAGCCTGTGATGATATAATTAAAGCCTGTAACATTCTTCAGAGGACAGAAGTTACAGTTGTGCATTCAGCCATAACTTAGGCATTTCTTGACTTTGGGGTCTCTAATTGTTCAACCTAAGTGTTGCATTAACATAGTTTCTTGTGTTTAATAATGTTATACTCCAATGAACTCGATTAGAATTGACTCTTGCTGGCTAGAATCAGCATCATCGGTACGTCATAAGCAATCAGCTACTGGAGCGTCTCCTGGAAAACTCTGTTTTTGAAGCAGCAAGATCCAAGTTCTGTCCCCACTATCAAAGTAAAGTTACAACTGGCCATAGTGACAGCTGTGAAGCCCTAGAAGGCCATGGATTTGTTACAGTACAAATCCTTGTCTTTCCAGGCTATCTCTATAGCAATAATTGTTGCAGTCGTCTCCTGCAGTTTATAGGTTTGTCTTCCTATGCCTGAAAATTATCTTGCCTCATTTTTCACTTCATCCCATCTTTTTTCACTAATAAACAAAGCTGGCAAGAGACTAGAACTGTGATTATTTTCAATTCAGACCTGAGGCTACCTCACATCTTCCCACAGAAGAAACACCTGGGAGGGGCCAGGTCGGGGCAAAATCTCTCTGAGATCCAATTTGTGAAGTTCCCTTCAGCCACCCTCTGTTGGGAGGACTTGGGTGTAGGGAGTCAGAAGGGCACAGGTTTTGAAGTCCGTGCCATTTCTGATTTCTGAGAACCAGGAGCCTTTCTAAAGAGACAGCCAAGCTAGGAGCTGTACTGCAGAGATTGCTTCTATTCTGCTGGGGCCCCTTCCATCAGAAGCTGTGCTGCCATTGGCCGCTCAGTAACAGCCATGAAGTGGATGCAGTGGAAGTATTGAGCCGTGAGCTTTACTACTTCCTACCCAGCTATCGGTATGGAAATCTGTGAGCAGGGCAGGCTCTGGCACGACAGAAAGGAGCACCTCTTCATCCCCTGTCCCAGCCTAACCTCTTGCTTCAAATCCCCTCTGAGTTCCGTCCAAGCTGCATACAGTCTGAAGGGCCTGGTGATTGTGGGGCACAGTGTAAGGGCAGCTCAGGCCCCAGTTTTTCAGATTTCCTACTGATAAGATTGGAATATTTCCAAACTGTATATCAGTCATTTGATTAATAAAGATCATGGGAGGAGTTTGTAGTCTTGCAAAGGTTTGTTTCAGTGTTTCAGTGTTTGTTTCATTCACCCTGCAAATCTTTGCCTATTCCTTCACTCTAGACTATAGGTTTTTACATCAGAGAGACTTCGTAACTGGTTTTCTCTTCTGAAAGGTGGACATCTTCACTGACTTAGTAGGACACTTTTTTAGAGCTGACAGCTCTAAAAAAGGTATCCACCGAAATAGTTTAGGTGAGGATTATGTCATTTGAAAAAAATTTTAAATGAGGCTCACTATCAATGCTTCCAAAAGATTCTTACAGAGAGGTTTCATGTCGTTGTCTCAGAGAAACTAGCAGAAAGCTTGTGATATGATCTGCAGTATCTGTCACTCCGTACCTTTTCAGAACTCTCCAGGAATCATTTCATCCTATGTTATACTACAAGATAAATGAGAACTGTTAATGACAATAGTAATTTTACATATAGTATTTCATATCAGACATGGATTTTGAGTGTTGAAATACTTCACCTATTCTATCTCATCCCATAATGTTTGCCAAAATTTCCCCATACAACAACACACTAGCACTGGACTTTTAACACATGTATAATTAAATGCCATAAGAGTTTTGTTACAAAAGATGGTGTCTCTTTCTACCATTTCAAATGTGTTGTTATCTATTGAGTAATAGCAGTGTGCTCAGCACTTCTGAAATTTACAGGAAAAATTTCCCCCATCCCATTGATCTTACAAACTTACTCATGTATGAATTAATACATTGCTCGGTGTGGGTGTGGTTGGGTGGGTTTGGGGAGGCCAGGGGTGGAATGCAGCATGGTGTGATGTAATATATAGGTTTTATCAACATGTGTTTGGGAAAGCTACATTGCTCACAAATGGGGAAAAAAGTGAGTTGTGGAGGTCATCCAAGGTCAGTCCAAATAAATTTTTATACCATCATGAATTCCATGTATGCCACGTGTCTAACAGTAAAAAACTAACCAAACAAAAATACCTTAACAATGTTTTAGAAGGTATTTAACATGTTATTTGGGAGGGTATTTTTAATATCTCCATCTTTAAAGCCAGGTGTCTTAGTTACCATGAGTCCACCTGTACAGGACTTGCAGCAACCCATAAAAACTTCTGTATTTCTATATATTTCTATGTTTAAAGTTGTGACATTTCTAAGTCCAGAGTCTCAGTCCCTTCCAGGGGTAGAAATGAGTGCCGGATCCCCATGAGAGTGGGAGAATCTTGTCATTTCTAGCTCTGCAATGCAGCAAAATATCAGAGCACCATGATATGCTTATACCTGGAAAAGCCATCTCAGCTACATAACTGAATCTTGTCCTTTTAATGTCTAACTTTGAAAGGAAAAAGTGCCACCATCTCTTAAACAAGTTATTTTGGACCCCCTGCACCTTGATTCTCAGAAGTACTGAGCTCCCACAGTTCCCATTGATTTCAGTTGAAGATTTGGTTTCTCAACATGTCTGAAAATCAGGCCCTGGTTGTATAAAGTTGAATACATAAGAATTACAGCACCCAAAGTAAGAGGCCACTTCTTCAAATTTGGACCTTAATTTGCCAAAGATCGTCAAGGAAGTCTTTGCAAAGCCATAAATAGATCTGAGATCTCCAAGTCTGTGCTTTGTTACAAGTCCATCCTTCTTGCCCTTTGAAATTTGCTGCCTGTTTATGAAATCCATTTTTGTATATCTATAAGCATGAATATGTTTTCCCCTCCTGTTGCAGAATACAAACCACGATTTGTTCATACTCGCCAAACTCGGTCCTTGTCTGTGGAATTTGAAGGTGAAATATTTGACATAAACCTGGAGGAGGAGGAACTACAAGTGTCACACTCCAAAAGTATTAGTAAGCGCCATGACACTGAAAATGAGGAGGATTCAGAAGATAGCGATGATGGTGAAGAAGAAGAAATGATAGCTGATGGCACCAATGCTGTTGGACAACCTGATTCTGTCAGAGTGACACACAAGTATGAATGCTTTATATTGTTTTTCTTGAAGTAAAATTTCTCCCACATTTTGCATTTTCTTCTTTATCCTTTTCTTTGTGTTTTTCAGTATTTTACACTTTATATAACACAACACAATAATATAATAAAAGAATGATTTTATAATTTTGCCCTCTCCTACACAGGTCAAGCCAATGGGATGAGTTGTACCTTTGTAAGTGAGGGCAGAATTGGGCCTAGCGATTCCAGCTTTCCTAGCTGTGTGTATTAATGTAAGACTTGGCACCAGAGACTCAAATAAAGCAAATTAAGCCTATGTACAACTGAGTAGAGATGGACAGCAAATAGTTTTCCCATCCTGCAAGCGTTTTTCAGATTTTAAAAAATTTCCCCAATTTTTTAAATCAGAACAAAAAGTGAACATCTCAAAAAATTTTGCAAACCAATAATCCAAAAAAAAGGACCAGGTCAATCAAAACATTTCATTTAGATAATTTCATAATAGTTCATTTCAATGTTGACCATCTATATTTTTTAACCTTTTTACTATAAATTAACTAACATTTCCAACCCAGAAAACGAAACATTTTTTCAAAAGTTTTTCAAATCTGGAGATTCATCAGAACTGACTCTTTTCCACAAACAGTTTTGGGTTAAACAAATCAACACTTTCCAATGAAAGAATGTTTTATCAGAAAATTTCCAACCAGCTCTATAATTCACTTTCAATGACAGGGATTGGAGTAGGAGACTCTGTACACCTTTTCCATCTCTAACTCCTATGGGTCTATGACTTTCCATTTTCTTCTGAAGCAGAGGCATAAGGAAATCAAATTGAAGCAGGGCAGGTGAAGGGTGTGTCCCTAGAATCTCAGAAATACACAGTTAAGGAAGTTGTGTGAGAATGTCAGTAAGGGAAACTTTGGGAAAACAGTATGCAGGTATTTATCTCTCAGTCTATTCTCAGTTAAAGAGACAAGGTGGGTAAGGTGAATCTTTTACTGGACCAACTTTTATTGGTGAGAGGGAAAAGCTTTCGAGCTAAGCAGAGCTCTTCTTCAGATCACCTGAAAAAGAGCTCTGTGTAGCTCAAAAGCTTGTCTCTCTCACTAACGGAAATTGGTCCAATAAAAGATATTACCTCACCCACCTTGTCTCTCTCTAACAACCTGGGACCAATACAGTACAGCAACACTAGATATTCTCAGTTAAGTCAGTCTTGGCCTTCTCACTGTTGTTTTCTCTTGCTAGAACCGTTATCCTGAATAGCTGTCTTTAATCCATTTATTTTGTTCATAACTATAGATACTTTAGCACGCAACTATTCACATTGTTTATGTCTTGAACTCTCTTCTGTATCACAGCAAATTGATGAGGCATTAATTCATTACTTTGGACAATCATGTCCCATTCTTACCAATTGTGTGCTCATAGATGGGGATTCATGGTAGTGTGCCGAGATTGTGAGGAAAAAACCTACCTCTCTGCAGCTGGTGGCTGTACAAGCAGTGGCAATTCTGATTAAAGGGAGATTAAGAATTTGATGGAGTTTTATACTTTGGTTTTGTTTCTGATTGGACTGAGAATCCCCAGCATGTTAATGGTGTTGCATCTTAACATAGCAGGCACAGAGCCCGTGCCAAGAAGGAGTTTTCTCCATGTTGGAGAGAAAACAGATGGAGGCAATTATTTGGGACTACTAAACCAACACACATCCCTGGCTGCCATTGTTGAGTCTAAATCAAGGGCAGCCAAATCATGGCACCTGAGCCACATGCAGCTCTTTTACAGTTAAAGTGCATTCGTGGACCCCCCCCCCAAGCACCCCTCCCATTCCCCACCTACCAGACTGCGGGATGGGGAGCTTGGGGTTTCTGCCCTATGGCGGGGTGGTAGAGTTAGGGGCTTCTGCCCATCATGGAGAGGGGGGTCTAGGGACTTCAGCCCCATGGGATGCACCTGCCAGGGCTTGGGGTTTATCCCTTAGCTCCACTACCCTGCCACCAGGCAGAAACTCCAAGCCCTGGCAGGTGTGCCCAGCTCTTAAACTTCTGAAGACTATAGTCTGCGACTCAGAGGGTCAGTAAGTTTGGCCACCACTGGTCTATTTTATTACTTATCAGAGGGCAGAGTACAACTGGAAAACTTTATAGGGAGGAGAGGACAGGAAGAGACTTTGGAAAAAGGGGGAAGAGGCGAATGTGCACAAGGAACGCTATTGATCTCTCTCCGCTGTTCTGTTAAATGCATCTATAGGTGTTTTATTCTTCCAAATGACACCATTCACTGTGAGAGGGAACTGTACCAATCATCCAGAGCCTGGAAGGACCACAAGGCCTACATTGATAAGGAGGTTAGAGGGATTTCAAAATCTATTCTTAATAAAGATTCTAAACTCTGATGTCATCACAGTGTAACTCTGCATATAAATGTGCTTTGCAGATTGAAGCTCTCCAAGATAAAATTAAGAATTTAAGGGAAGTGAGAGGACACCTAAAAAGAAGAAAACCTGATGAATGTGATTGTAGCAAAAAGAGGTAAGAAAAATTCACCTGAAGCACTGTTTTCCTTACTGATTTACTTTACTGAACTCATGAGCTTTTATACAGTGGGAAAGATTTAACATTGGCTACTGTAAGTTTAATATCCAGATATGGATTCAAGCTGCAGAGTTTGGATCCAGAACCTAAATTCCTCAAAATTTGGTTCCAGGATTTTGCTTTAACCCATTCTACAGGTAGGAGCCATCATGAATGAATTAAGATCCAGATCTGTATTTTAGCATTAGGTGTGTTTGGATTCTGGTTATATATTTTGACCCATCTCTGTTAATAATGTTGATATAGTATGTGCTCATATAAGTCATTTCTGCTAGTGAAATAAAACAGACTGTACATTCAACTAAAACAATAATAGTATCTATTTTAAGTGAGAACATAAAACAGATGGTGTACTTCTGTTTTGCTTTGACTGCAGAAAATGAATTAAGTTTTATCCAGTCATGAAAAGCTGATGTTTTTAATATTATCTGTAGCTATTATAACAAAGAGAAAGGGGTGAAGGCCCGAGAGAAAATGAAGAGCCATCTTCATCCATTCAAGTAAGTGTCGTTTTTCCCTTTGCCATCAGCTGGGCATTGTTTTATTTTGCTTTTTAGTAACTGTGAAATATCAACGATGAGCCACAGTCCAAAACGGCTGTTATCTGGGGGTACCAGAAGCTGGCAACTTTTGACTGGCTGCCCAACTTGAAGTTCAGGACGGGCAGTGGGAAATTAAAAACAGTGGCACAAATCCCACTGAAATGGATGAAATGAATCATTCTGGGGACTGACTGACTTGATAACCTTTAGCTGGGTCCTTTACTTCCTGTACTTGATACAGCATCTATTCAATTTACTTGTGATGAGAGCATCTTCTCACAATATTAAGAGATATGGGGGGGGGGGAGAGAGAAAGACCACCCTTAATTAGACTCCCTATCTGGTACATAGTTTCAAGCATTCAACCTTTTAAAAACTCAAATAAACATAATTGTTAAAGCCCTTTTCAAACAAATAGAAATTAGTCTATGTGAACTACAAATTGCTTCCCCTCTGAACAGAGAAGCAGCACAGGAGGTGGACAGCAAACTTCAGCTATTCACAGAGACCCGCAGGAGAAAGAAGGAAAGAAAGGGGAAAAGACGCCAGAAGAAAGGAGATGAATGCAGCCTTCCTGGACTTACGTGTTTTACCCATGATAATAACCACTGGCAGACAGCACCGTTCTGGAACTGTGAGTATTTCTTACCTCCATGTGCAGACTTTAATGAGGTTCATTCTCCTGTCTCATGTGATAATTTCCAGATAGGACAGTCAAAGAGGGCGTTATTTTGGAAAGCAGGCACTTACGTTCCTGACACAAAATGCACACAAAGTAGTAATTGCCCTGTAAAGAAATTAATGAAGAACTTCACTTGTAGTTATTATTTATAACTGCAATATAAATACCTAGAGGCCTCAATTAAGACTGTAGAAACACAAAACACAAAAAAGACATGTTCCTGTGCTTTTTTATTACCATCTATTTGGTTTTGTTCCTCTTCTTGTAGACCCAGATGTCTAAATATTTCAGAGGACTTCTAATTATGCTGTTTTATGATCCTAAAAGAGAAAAAAAAGTTCCATTATTTCCTGTCTATATGCACATTTATTTTCCTACCTACCCATATAATACTGCTTGTAAAATTCTGGTAAATGACTACTTCATTTTGACAGGGTGAAGTAGAGTGAGGATGAATACAGTGGCTCAGATTTTGCTGTCATTTACACCCATGCAACCCTGTTGATTTGAATAGGAGTTACATGGAGAGTCAATCAGGACAGAATTTAATCAGCTGAATTTAGTGTTTAGTTCATTGAGAGCATAATAATTATCAGACTCAATGAGACAAAAACATAAAAATCTGGTGTCATGGATCTGTGAACAAGGGGAGACCCAAAAACTATCATAATCTTCACATTAGTTAATGTTATGCCAAAATTTGGCAGGAGGATTTTTTCCTTGGCCCTTAGGGGTCATCTCCTGACTTGAAGGAAGAGAATTTATTGATAGTCCATGTAATTTTTATCTAGGCTAGTACTATATCAAACATTACATTTAAGGAATCTACAGGACTTCCATTATAAACCATTGTTTTCAGTTGTGTGTAACTGTCTGAAAAACTCTTCTTTGGGGGCTGAAAGTTTCAAGGTTTGATCACAGTACAAAGGGGATTGTTTATTTGTTCGTTTTTTCTTGAAAGTTTAATCAAAATCCAATAATTCTTTTCCACAATTTTTAGGTGTTTTTTTGGCATGTATAACTTAGGAATAGCTGTTCTATAGAAGCTGAAAATTGTCAGGTGGCTAGACCGCACTGAGACCTAGGGACAGATACTCAGCTGGTAGAAATTGTCGTAGTTGCATTGATGCTAACATTCTGCCCTTAGTCTTCAGACCAGTTTGCTAAAGAAAAATATTGCAAACTGTGGAAATATAAAAATTGGGTTTTACATTTGTAGTGATATTTTGCACATTTGTAACACAAAGCTGCACTGAGAGTTTTGATGGGGTAAGAATTTAGCATAAATTGAGTAATGACTTCTGGTTTTAACCCAAAGTAATTGATTGATCTTTTTCTTATCTTTTCCTCAAAGACAAAAACAAACAAAATCAAACAAACATAAAAAGCAGGGAAACTGAATACAAAAGTTAGTTCATGCTAATTTTAAGGTTTTGATTTTAAACACTCCGAAATCAGGAAAAGATAAACATTAACATTATCATCGTAAACTTAACTCAGACATTGCACATATAGAATATTTTAAGTTAGTAGTTATGCTATTAAATATAATATGATTTATCCCTCTCATTCTGCTACACCATCATATTTGTGTGCTGGTTCCACTCACCTCAGAGGGCTGTGTGTCAGTGATGCTGAAAACCTTTTGATGGCCCATACCAGCTTCTTCCTTGGGGTTTCCTCGATGGTACACATCACCTCCATTACTGCTCCTCCAGGGCTTCATTCTTCCTACTAGTGCCACTTCACTCCTGCTTGCTAGTCCTGTCTCTTTCCTTTCTGCCCTCCAGCTCTGTTACTCTGCTCCTCTTGCTTCGTAGTGGCCCCCAGCAACTCTTCCAAATCCCTTCCTCCAATGCCACACTGCAACATCCCGTGCCAGCTTCTAGGTACAGTCCAAACCCATCTTCACATTTCCATTTCCTCCCCCTCTTCAGTCTCCATAATGTACCTCCTTCTCTCCTGTCTGCCACATTACCTCTCCCTCTCATCATGTATACTCCCTAACAAATGGAGCTCAAGCCACAACACTGACAACATACAGACAGCTCTCACTAGCTTCTAGAGGAGGGCAGAATAGCACCATGAGGGTGGAATTTTCCATGAAACGTACATCCTATATATTCAATGAGGTTAAGGTTACTTTTAGAACATTAGTGCAAATTTTACCCTGACTTATATACTAAGCAACTCCACTGAATCTCATTCTGCATGAGCAACTGAGGACAAGAACTTTTTTTTAAACCCTTACATCCAATTCACCCCAGAGCAGTCAGATTTACATCATATGTCAGTTGGGGCAGAATTTGGCCTGTTATCCACAGGATTTCATGTCTCCTGTCATTTAAAACATATATGTATTTTCATATATGTTTTTGTGTTTCTGAATAGAATCTAATGGTTTATTCTTAAAACTAAAGAACTTTTTAGAAAAATAAAGTAAAACGATTAAAATCAATATAAGTTTTGCTACCAGAAAAGCAATGTTTATTATTTTATATCTAAAGCTAATTGTTTTCTCCCAATTACAGTGGGGTCTTTCTGTGCTTGCACAAGTTCAAACAACAACACCTACTGGTGTTTGCGAACAATTAATGAGACACACAATTTTCTCTTCTGTGAGTTTGCAACTGGATTCTTGGAATATTTTGATATGAACACTGATCCCTATCAGGTAATCCCATTTCTGTGTTACAAACGCTTCAGCACTAATATTCTGTATGGTTGCACTCTTGTTAACAAATATTTCTTTTTTTCTGATGCCCAGCTGACAAATACAGTACACACAGTGGAAAGAGGCATTTTGAATCAATTACATATGCAGCTAATGGAATTGAGAAGTTGTCAAGGTTACAAGCAGTGCAATCCACGACCTAAGGGACTTGAAACAGGTAAAAAAGAAAAAATCTGAAAGAAGGCACTATTCATGTATGTTTTTATTAGGGTGTCTTTTGTTTTCTTAATTACTAAATGGATCAATTACAACTCTCTCTCTCTTTCTCTCTCTCTCTGAAAACCTGGCAGTTAATTGTGTATACAGCATTATCAATGCATTGCAGATATGTTTCATTGCAGATATGTAGGGTTACTATAGATGGATATTACAAAGTATTGGGCAGGAAGGTGACCAAGCCATTACACTAAAAAATAATAGAAGAACATGCTAATGCTGCTTAATTACACTCTAGATAGCTTTGTAGGACTTTGTTTCCATTCTCTCCTACAGGATTAATTCTGTTAGTCTTTGCTTCCCAATAGCATCCCCACCAAGGAGTGATTAACTGCAAACTCTACATTGCAACCAAGAATGTATGTTGCAAACTTTTAATGGACAGACGTCCCTGCTGTGTTTAAGGAGAGCAAGATATGAGAAGTCCTTTACAAATGTTCCTGAATTTAAAAAAAATTAAGTGATATTTATACTTCACTTACCTGGAATTTGTTGCACTTCATTTTGGGTGACCTTAAAGTGTGCTTTTACAGGAATATTCTCTTCGTATTTTATGCCATTGCTTCTTTATTTTTCTCTCTTTTCTCCATGAAAATTCTCTTAATTTATCATTTCTAATCTGATTTTTATGGGATTTTTTCAATTCTTTGAACACATCTTTTAGGAAACTTTTGTTGGACTGCAGCTCTGTCTATATTTAACACAAATACATTTCTTTTTAGGATTAGATGCTGTGCATGGAAACTACATTGTGAATGGTTTTTACAAGTTCTAAACACTAACAAAAGTTACTCTTGTATTTTCCTATATCAGGAAATAAAGATGGAGGAAGCTATGATCCACACAGGTATCCACACTTTTTTATTCTCCTCAGCAGCTTCTTTCCAAATAATTGCATGATCCAGTCCATTTCAACTAATGTCTGTATCCTGCCATGTTGCAAACGACATAGCTTTTGGTGCATGCATTTTCTAACAATATTCTCCACTGAACTTGGCCATTGGTTATTAGATCTGCCATTCTGCATTTAACTTAGCTCAGTGTCATGGCAAGACTTCATGCAGCTCATTTTAATGATTCCATGCCTGTATTTCTTATATGTTTATATTGGGAATCTATGCAAAAAGAACAAAGTGGTGTTTTTTATTTAAGAAGACTATACAGCTGCTTTGTAAATGTAAAACAAATGTGTTTAAATATAATCTCTGATTTATCTATACTCCAAGGGCCCGAGCAAGCACTCATTGAAGTCAATAGCTATATTCTCCCTAACTTCAATGGGCATTGGATGAGGTTGAACTAGGGGTGGGGTTGCTGTAGGTAAGCATACTGTATGCACACCACTCCTTGCTATGAGTGGGGAAAACAGATTCAGGGAGAGAGCAGAAAAAGGGACAGAGACACTGAGAAAGCTGAAGTCATAACATCACTGTATTGGTATCTGCTGCACTGTCCACTCTACAGGTTAAGTGTAGAATTAATGGTAGAAAATGATCCCAGATATTTGGGCTTGGTTCTGTTCTCATTTTCCATCAGTTTTACACCTTTTCAGCTTCATACACTTTGTTGGAATTACTCGTCATTTACACCAGTGTAAGTGAGGGCATAACTGGGTCTCAGGAGACTACAGTTGTATAAATGGTCTGTTTTATGGGGCAAGCAAAGAGTGTGTGATTGTTAGCTCTGTGTATCAAACACAGGAGTCAGGAAACAAACAAAATCATGCATCTTATATTTTATAAATCTCTAATTTAAGCAGCTGTTTCCCAGTAGAGCCAAGTTTGTACTTTCCCAATTGTGTAGTTTCATGACTGAGGATATGATGAGCTGTTCTGTGAAACCTCATGTTATTTCACAGTTTTGTGCATTTCTTGCTAAAGCCTGATGGGAAACAGTTATTTACTACAAAGGGAGAATGAGATTCTTGGATTCTGTTAGTTTTATTTAAAAAAATAAAACCATCCTTTTTAATCTCTCATATGAAGACTTTCTTGCAAGCATTTTTATTGCTACCTTTAACTTTACATCTAACAGAGATGGAATTTTTATGTTGTAGGGCTGCATGAAATAAATAGCCCCATATATCATTATATTACATCTTCTCATGAAGTCTAGTAGTGAAATCATTCTAACCACTCACCAAGTCGTTTAAAATGATTCTATTGGGAAGAGTAATAGGTGTAGCACAATTAAAATAATACAGACCTGTAAAGCGCAGGTCCAGACAGAGATTCCCAAAGGTCAAAGGATTTTGTGTCCAAAGTTTTGGTTCAGACCCTTCGGACCCTGTGAATATGTGACATTTATAAAAGAAACCTTAACCATTTCTTAGTAATCTTTGAAAGGAATCTCCGAGAGGAACCTATTCTTCATGTACCAAAACTGTGCAGAATTAAAAAGGATGCAGCTCCATGCTGTTGTGAGTCTCTTAAAATACTGCTTGGGTATTATGTGGGCCTGCTTAGTAGCTCAGCTTACATGTATTGAGTATTTAAATACTTTAGTTAATAATTTAACACACAACTAAATGTGTTGATTTATGGCCAGTACAACCATATTAGCTGTGTTGTGGCTGCAGGCATATATGTCCACAGAGAACACAGTACAGTTTGTCCACAGAGAACACAGTACAGTTAATGCCTATGTAGAGAATGAACACTGCATGCCCATTTCTACCCATGGATGAATTCAGGAAGCACCTGTTATGGGACCTCTGTGCCACACATGTGCATTGAAAGGCAGATCTTGACTCCACATAAATAGCTGCCCAGAGTAACCATGAGCTATACACACAGGCTGGGACTTTCCAAACTGCCTCGGGATTTTGATGTCCATTTGTCATTATTCTTAATGGGATGTGAGTATCCAAATTCCTTAGGAAGCTTCAAGGAATCTCAGCCATGAATAACAGCTTGAGTAATGTTTGAGAAGAGAATCCCAACATGTGTGTTTATGTATCTAGCCTTAGCAGCATTTTTCTACATTGAGTCTTAGTCTGTTTATCTGATAAATTGCAAAATACTTTATAAACAAAAGCACTTCCTTATTAATCATATACAATTTTTCCCTATTTTCCTTCTCTGTGTTTATTTTTAACAAGGTTTGATTTATTGCAGGGGGAAACATTTTTCTGTTTTTCCTTTACACTTTTATCTCAATTTATGAAACCTCTCAAGTTCATTCTTGAGTTGTGGGTTTACAGTGCCTGAAATAAGTCGCTTACCCAATCAGCATGCCCTCATTTTAGGAAATGGGAATATTGCATTCCCTGTTGGTTAAACTGCAGTATAAGTTATTCTGTTTTTCCTATATATTACAAAAAGTTGCACTTCTTGGCTGCTGTTAAACAGCTTCTGCTGCCATCATGGCCCTGAAATGAGACTTGTTTGGCTAGTTGGCAATGGGATTTTCAGTATATCAATTTGTTTCTCTATATATCATGCAGAATAGTATGTCATTTGGCAATTAGATCCCTGATGAAATGACAATTGTGCTACTATAACAAAAGCATAGTAAAATTGTAATTATTGTAGTCGCTGTACTTAAGTTGATGCACTGGAGAGTTCTAAGGGTAACTTTTATTAATGGTGCGTCCCTCTTATTACCTCATCTAGCCTCTTTTCCCCACAAGAAAGTCACAGAATGTTGATGGGAAAATAGATCTCTGTGTTTACAATGTTGCAATTTTGTAGGCCTATAAGTTCTCAGTGAGCTTTTCATTATTGGGTTTTGTTTCTTATCCTTTTTTAGAAATCCACATTTAACCAGCAGGCTGATGTTCTCATAATCATATCTGTTAATACACTAACGAACCAAGAGAGACTTTGCTGGCCTAGTTTCAGTAGCCAGTGAAATGGGGGTGTAATGTGGGATATGAACTAAACTGATACACTGTATGGTGTGAGTTGGGAGAGTGAGGTACAGATTTGCCGACAATGGATGTTTTTTGCCTTGAGCTACTCTAGGGATTAAATTCATGCCCCAAGCACAAAGTCTGGTTTCTAGGGTTTTGTCTGGAGGATTCTGAAGGGAATAGGAGGATACATTTCCACTTATAGGTGGGAAGTGTGGCTATTGCCACACTGCACTGTCCAAGTGGGGCATGCCGCTTAGCAGTGAACCAGAACATTAGATATAAGGTTCCCTGACTTGGCCTATCTTTATCTACAACTCCAGATTACATTTGCTTACAGGAAACAAACAGTGAATTGAATTAAAATAGAAAAACAACCACCACCACCCACCCCAATACCTGCACTTACTCCTGGAATTAAAATATATGTCAAAACTTGCCTAAGTTGAGTGGTTTTCCTATTGAAAACATGTCTTCCTTACAGTTAATTGGTACACAACAAAGATGACAATTTCTGTGAAGTACGGTCACAGCCATTTACTACCATAGACCTGGGGGGGGGGGGGGGTTAATGTAACTATTTATCCATCTATACAAAGAATTGATAGAAGAACACTGGCGTTTCCAAAATACTTCCTTAAATAGTTTGATGGTAGTTATGCCTATAAGATAAGGGACCAGATTCATGCCCCACTCAATTCTTTTTGTACCACTCAGGCAGTGCAAAGAGAGCAGAAACCTTCTTCAAGTCTCTTGCTGAGGTTGTCTGTCTTCCATCTCTCCATCCCCTCAATGCCTAGTGCAGGAGTGTGTCAGGTGTGTGGCCAGAGTACAATATGCTCCAACAATCCCCAGCTGGCGTATGATCCCTAGTGGACCGTAGCCATCAGACATATTTTAAAGCAGCCCTCTGGATGCTTTAATCTGTACTCGGGGCCAGGAAAGTAAACAGGGAGCTATGACAGGCTCTCTTAAGCCTCTTTGCTGCTCTGCCCAGCGTAAGGCGAATGCAACAGAGAATCCGATGTATAATTTTCAGGCACATTTTTCTTCCATGCCTTACCAACGGAGAATGACAGAGTTAAAAT